TCACGAACTGATACATGTACTGCTATGGTCAAAAGCAGATGTGTTTTGGTGGGTTTTCACCTCAACGTCTACCTGGATTGGGACAAGTGGCAGGATATCAGTGAGTAAGATTCGCCTTCTACCACCTTCGAAGCTTTTCTTGTGAAAAAATTTCGAATCTACACTATCCAATACCATTTCAACTTGCCCTTTTTTGGTGACTTACGTTCCACTGCACATCCCAGAAACCGCGAGTTTACTTGGTAACAAATTGTAGGAAAGTCAACGCATAAAGTAGCTAATTGGCGCTAAACATATTGCATGGAAAAGCAGCTAAAAGTGGGTACGAATAGTGTTGCGGAAAATAGCTCATGATTTGTTGTTAAATGCGGTGCGTGAAGTGACGAGTGTAAGGTTCATGTTGCACGGTTTGATCGTGGATCTAGTCTTCTACAGTGTCAGCATAGTACTCTGTGGATTCTTCATCTAAGTACGGAGGGTTCAAAAACTCCAACTCGATGGTTTGCAGTGATTTCTGGGACCAGGGTGTAAAGTTTCTGTGCATCTGCTTGTAATCATCTCCGAGTGCTTTTACCAGACTGTCGAACGCATTCATCAAGTTGCCTTCTTGTGCCAATCCTTGGGTGCTGAGCTGTTGCTTCAACCGATCGATTTGCAGGTCGCGCTCTGTTACTGTCTCTGAAAACTCGAGTTTCAACCGTTCCAATTCATCATCCTTTTCCTGAATTAGCCGATTCAATTCACACAAATCGGTTTCTAGTTTCTCGATTTTCTCATTCAGTTTTGATACTACTATTTCATGCTGGGTGATCATGAAGGCGGTGTGTTGTTGTGTGTTGTGACGAATCTCTTCCATCATTCGTGTCGACTGGACGCGGTCCGTGTACGCCCGAAATCGTCGATTCTCCGTGGTTTCCAGGGCGCATATGGTTCGACTGAGCTGATCGCGGAGGCATTTTACCTCGTTCTGCGATTTCGCAAACTCTTCTTCCGTGGGGTCCTTAGAACCCTTCTTGCTCCGACCTTTTTTCTTTTTCTCCGTACCGACGGCCCGTTTAGACATCGTTTAACAGAATATGTGCACAATTGGCTGAAATGAGAGACACGCACATTGTAAAGAGGCATATTTGACAATACTCTGAACGCAGTGAGTTGTCCTTCAATAATCCTAATTTAAAATGCAGGTGCAGAGATCATTTACATCTGAGGTCGTGTTAGAAACAGATTGTACCATTCAGGTCTCATTATGAAAACACCACATCAGTTCGATGGACTAACGTAGTACTTGACCAATGTAATCGATTATGTTTTTAGGTGTCACCAATCGGGTAATGCCATCCGATTGTGGTGATTAAGTGTTTCTTAGGGTGAGGAACCTAACCATCCAACCTTTTAGCTGCTGTACTTTATTACGCGCTCCATAAAGGACTTGCAACAATTGTCCATTACTTGGTAGCGCACCGTAACTGCAACCTAGCGCAAGAATGAATGCAAGGGATGTCCAGACGCAAGAGACTAAGACAGTAGTTAAGAGTAAGTAGAAAAGTTTCTGTACAACTCTATTGAATTACACAAAATCAAAAACATTTAATTGCAGATTTCAGTGGTAATGTTTCGTCAGTTAATCGTTTATTCTTATTCGGTTAGGAATTCGTATTGGTGTCGTTATCTCCGGGTATAGGATGTATTTTTGCATTGTATGTGCACCGTCTCACAAAAACACAGGTTTCCAAAATAATCGTCCGTACGTGTTTTGAAACACTTCGTAGAATCGGCCTGCATTATTCCTTCTGGTAGTGTGTTCCGTACGTTTACGCGTCTTCGTTCTGTACGAAGTTTATGTGATACCAAGTATGTACTGTATCTCAAACTGACAGCGCTAGCCTGACATGCGCTTGTCATTTTGGGAACTTGAGGGAAATTTATTTCGTTTGTGTTGGCAATTCATCCACGTGGTTGCACCATTCGGAAAACAGTGAATGGAGAGTAATCTCACCCGATTCGTTGTCCGAAATGACGCTGCCCGAACGAGTAAGTCTCTAAAAAAGGCCTTCACGAAAAAATGCCAAGGCCATTCAATGTAGTGTATTAGCTAGTGACGACATCATTTCGAACCTAGGATATCTCAGACATCGAAGCATCAGAGAAATAGATCCAATTCCACAGGACGTTAATTGGTGATAAAGCACCCTTGACGGCGGAGATGCTATAAACTATATATAGACCTTGTTTACTCCCCTTTATTTTTTAAGGAAGCCTGGCAGAAGTGAAAATATCCATCTCGAACTCTATACCATCATCGTTATCTGTCAAAATTTTTAATCGAGTTGTGGTTGATATGTCTGCAAATCTATTGTGATTATTATTTTTAATTCATCATAGTCTATGTTGTTCCTTATTTACTTGTTGGCAACTTAAGATGACGGATTGCATTTTCCATGCAGAAGAAGTATACCCATGCAAGGCCTACTGCCACTAACTCACTGAAGTGACTGATTAAGAACTACATTGCACCGACATCTTTCCGAAATAAAAAAGAACTGCCAAGACCAAAATCGCCAAATATTGGAACGGGCTGAGTGGTCTTACAGCCCGTAACTTATGTATGAAAACAGCCCTAAAATATTATACAGGTTGATGGCCTACTTGCTACTTTACCACACCGGCCCACAGACAGTTGGGGTATGGAAACGCGGGCGAAAACTATGGAGGAACTACCCTGCATAGAAGCAGGCTTCCTGGGGACGGTTTTATCTATAACCATAGGACATTGCTTGGAAATTCCCGTGATGGAGCTGAACGGTATTGCGCACGTCCCCAGGTTGCGGATCGGGGAAAGCCTTCTTTGTGGAGGTACCTGGGAATAAGTCTAGTCTGCTTCGCAAACGAGATGAATAAGCAGTCGCGGACAATCAGTGGCAGCGTCTCAGAGCGTGGGGAGTTCTGGGTTGGTCACCTGGTTCTCCATCAAACACCACAAGAGCTCGTACGGCGCTGTGTCAAAGCAAATGTGAACGGCTATAGGGTCACTTACTACCACCTACTACTACTTACTCCTACTACTTCTGTAACTGGAGGTGAGTATTTAACGGGTGACAGATAAACAACCTTGTTGACCACTGGCTTCTCTACGGACTACAACCGAACACAAATAAGGTGAATGAGCCACTTCGCGGTCAACGGTCTTCGTATTCGCCCCGCTGCCTTGCGGGTCAGGTCTTTAAGACCAAAACCTCGGGGTCAACCCTCTTCCTTGATCTGGGCAACCGGGAAAATCACTGCCCCCACAATATATGGCCTACGTATCTCTGCGCCTGACTCACTCTTTTCCTCTTTTTGTTGGTACTCATGTGCTGTGGCTCTCTGCCAAATGTGTATTGGCCAAGCAATATATATATATATATATATGTATATATATATATGTTGCTTGACCATTTAGATAAATCTGTATTTGTTATTGTTCCCAGTTTCTTGCTCTCGCTAAAACCTACGAACTGCCAATGATTACAAAAATAGGTTTGGGTGCCGCTGTATATAAAGCGAATAATTAACTATTTTATACTAGCTCATTTTACAAATGGATCAGACCACTCAGTTGGACTGTTGAAAAATACACCGTTTATATGTTTATTTATTTATAATGCCGATGATATCCGAAGCTTGTTTTCACCAGGGAGTGCAGACAATGTGGCCTGAGGATTCACATGTGAACTAGACAGATTTGCACTCCTCTGTGCGTACAGCACTAACAATTCCACTTATTGAATGCGAATAGATTTTATCTGGCTTTTTCATTAGGGTATTCAGCCTAAAACTTTGGACATTGAACTAACCGTCTATGGCTGGCGTTGTGTGGAGCCCATTAATATGTGTTCTCTATGGTCCACTAGTTCTAGGTGTCTCGTGAATAAAAAGGGCATCCGCAGAACACTGACATTTCCTGCCGACGCTTCGCTGGCACATGGCCACCACTAGCTGCATGCAGACTACGAACATTACGAGGTCGTCCTCATTTACCTAGGCTATAACCGGCCGTGAATCTCAAGAGTTAGTCCAATTACAGCAGCTGGCTTGGCATCCTTATTTATAAAGAAACAATTTTCTTTACAGATTTTGACGTGTACCGCGGCTACTGTACTCGCCAGTTTGGATTGCGGTGCTGCAGAGGTACATCAACTACTCGACAATCTTGATGACATCAATTCTGCTAGGCATGATGGGTTCCAACCACTGGTTCTCAAGTCCGTATCGGCCATCTCCCGCACCGTGGGCTGAATTGTTCAACAGGTCTCTATCCGAAGGGTCACTGCCGAGCGATTATAAAAGCTCAGCAGTAAAGTCGACTCCGGAAGTCGATGATCCCAGCAAAATAGACAATTACGCACCAATTTGTCTGCCCACTGTTTTGGCCAACGTTACCGAGAAGACCGTGAGAAAGGATATACTAGCAGCTACTCCAATCAAGAAATTTACTGACACCTGCACACCACGGTTTCATGTTAGGCCGCTGAGCCATAACCTACCTATTCGTGACGAGAGATTAATGATAGAAGATAAATAGTAATGTGACAGTTGTACGGCATAACGGTACCAGGGCCCATTCCATTCACAATCCACATCATTGATGTGCCTTGTGCCCTGGTTGCGGACGACCTGAAGATTTGGTGAGTGAATGGCACGCCGACGACTTCCGCCTACTTCAACAAGACCTCAACCGTCTCTTCATGCGGTCGGCAGAACCAACCAATACCAGAGTACGGCTTTTCCTCCCAATGTTCGTTCACTCGAGACGAAGCACAGAAAATCAATCAGATCCAGCACGTAGCTACCAGGCGTATCCCGAGTTTACGCGGCTCTCCGTACGAAAACTGGTGCGAGAAACTAGGACACTATACGGGAGAGCCTATGTGCGCTGAGGCTGGTGGTGGCTAGATCCTGACAGATGATCTACCCACTGCTGCTACTGTTGCGCCATTGGCTCATGTCCTGGATGCCTTGTGGCGACCGCTGAGTGGGAGTTGGGTTTCGCCGTTCTCTCTGCTAAGATCCAGGACACCAAACCGCATGAGTCAGTGAACTGACCATGTACTAAACCTGTTGCATTCCGCGTGTACATTTAATCGAAGGCTTTGGCTGAGGACCCGAGTCGTTACCCTGCCAGGAGTAGGCGCCCTGGCAGTATCCTAGTCCATCCTCTTCGGAGGTTAGGAAATGGTCGATGGCCCTCTTCCTGTAAAACCCAGCCTTGGGAAAAAACAGGTCTATTGTTTATAAGCTCACAGCTCGATTGGCGTAGGACACGAGCGCCACGCGTTGTCTCTGACGGTGGGAGGGCACCGCCGCGTGTTCAATGGTTTTCTACTGCCCGCTTCAAGCCAGGCAGTCCCTGGTCAAATTGGTGCAAACCCGCCAAAACCCACCTGCGTCTGGTCGTGGTCGCAGGTGTATCCTATTACGGTCGCAAATCATATATAAATTGTTCCAGTACCTCAAAGGCTACGTATGACGGCCGTCATGTAGATCCCAATCTGTCTCTGCAATCACATTCCCGGGCTGGGTCTGCTCTCCACTGCCTTGTGGGTCAGATTATTGTGCCAAGGTCTCCGGACGGAGTCCCTCAAGCAAACCTCCAAACCACCCACTGCCTTGTGGGTAAGGCTATTGAGCCAAATGCTCCGGGTGGAATCCCTCAAGCAAACCTCCGAAGCACAATGACCATCTCGAGTGCGATTGCCCACCAATGCAATCGTATGCCCGTGCGCAAAGCATTCAGCATCGGGTGGTGGAACGTGCGCACACTACTGGCCCGGAACTTCAGTGAGCGCCCCGATCGACACTTCTGCACTGGTCGCGATGGAGCTGGCGCGTTACCACATCGATATTGCGGCGCACAGTGAAACCCGGCTCGCTGAGCAAGGTAAGTTGCATGAAGCAGGTGCTGGCTACACATTTTACTGGGTGGTCAACGCCGCCTCAGTACGGCGTGATCTTGGGGTCGGATTTGTAATATCTGATCGCCTCCATGCCCAGCTGGTGGGTGAACCAACAGGTATCGGCGCGCGACTGATGACCGTTCGCCTACGACTAGAGA